TAAGAACAACATCAGTCTTTCCTTTGACATATTTGCAGGCGACCATGCTGGACTCAGCCCGGGAGGACATAGAACACGTGCGGGAAATACTGGACAGCATTTCTAAGATAAAAGTCCCGCAGACCACGAGAACCGGGTCAAAACCCAAGAGATCAAAACGCAGAATGTCCCAGGAACCCGGAGACCACACTGGGGAGCTGCCATCTTCCAGTGTAGATGTCGCTGCTACTGCTACTGCTGCTGCAGACGGTGAGGTGAAGGTCGCCAAGGGGGAGGAGGAGGAGGGGGAGGAAGACGAGGAGATAATCCGATCAGGTCCGCTGTGCAAGTACATGGAGATGTTGTCTAAGAAGTTGGAACGAATCCGCCTGGAGGAAACCCTCACAAGTTACCCGAATGAGCGGTATACGTCAGTCGGGGAAAGCGTCGTCATGGCAGCGGCTTCTGAGACGACGAGCGCTGCGCTTAAAGAAAAAAGTGAAAAACCTGCGGCGGTAGAGGATCGCGTCTCTACGTCAGACCCGCCACTTCATAGATTGACGTCATCAAAACCTGTCGTTAGGAAAACCCCCGAGAGATCTTTCAAAACAGCGAAGACAAGGCTGAGGATCGAGAACAAGGTGAGTAACAACAACGCCGTGAAGAGGGCTGGAGTCTCGACCACTAGCCAGGGCGTAGCCACAGCCTATGCTAGCCAGGAACAAAGAATTGTGTCTCCGAAAAGCTCATACCACGCGAGTGTCGACAAAAATAGCGCAATCACTCGTTGTGAGCACCCAACCCCAGTACACTCAGTTCCAGCAGCCACAGTGAAGAAAAATTCATCAGACCTGTCAGTTGACACGCCACCAACAGTCCATCCTCGCCTGGCTGAGAAGACGAGTCTGCAGTATCGGTTACAGAACTCACTCTCAGCCACTATATTCAGAGAACGACTGCAGCAGCTTAAGCCCCCACCTTCAACAGCAACAGCAGCAGCAGGAGAAGAAAAAGGTGGCACTGACTGTGAGTTCGGATTTGAAAAACTCACACGTTCACAAATCGAGCTGGTGAAGATATCCGACATTGAAGTCATGCCTACGTGTGGGGTTGAAAAGTTTAGGTGCGAGAAAGCGAAGAAAACTAAGCCCAACCGACGTCAGAGTGTTGGAACTCGCACCCTCTGCAGTCAGAGCGGGGCGAGAACACGATGCCAGCCCAGACCACCGGCGGCTACAGAGAGCCATATACACACTGCGTCGGAGGAGGGTAAGTGGGGAGTGGCGTCCCGCTCCGGTAGACACAGTGACAAGACGTTGAGCTGTCCCAATCTGGCAGTCGGTGTCTCCAACAGGGAGGAGAGATCGAGGATGGAAATAGCACTGTCTAGTTTACGAGGGGAAGAAACAGCGAGTATAGTCGGAGATTCAAGTGAAAGTCCCAGATTTTGCAAAAACACAACCTTACCCCAACAGCAGACGTCTCCGGCTTGGGGAGACGGGTCGCAAAAGGACAAAGTGGGATTAACTAAAGAAATAGCCAAACTCTGCTCAACACCATCGAATGAAGTCGCAGACTTGACTCTCACGGATCTTGAAGGAGGAAGTCACGTGACCCACTCCCCGCCCTGCGTCAAGCAGCGAGTGAGATCCCCCCCTAGAATGGACGAGCTTCAGTTCGCACACACCTTGGCCTCTCAGTCCCCTCAGGGCTTATGTGGAGGCGTTCTGCACGACTCCTGGCCGTTAACTAGCCGCACCTCCCTGATGACGTCAGACTTTCCATCAGACGCTAAAACTCCACCTAGGGAAGATGACGCCATACTCAGAGAGGTGGACATCGACGATAACAGTCACCAAACACAGCCGGATGCTTGTCTGAACGCCAATAACAACTCCCTACCTGTTTCATCGATGTCTGATGATCTGATGACGTCAGAGAGAAATGTCAGTGGCATGTCCCTCCCGCCCATTCCCCTTGTTCCCCATCGAGACCGCACATTCTCAAAACCACGAACTCCTTGTAGAGTAAATGCGGTAGCAGAAGCAGACATGTCTGGTGTCTATAACAAACATCCCGCGAGCAAAAGCAACCTGCTCAAACAAAATGTGAAGGATAACTGGAAGCAACTCGGGACTTTGGATGTTTTACCAGAGGAAGAAGGAACGGGAGTGTTTCACGGTGCTAACAGTCGTTGTATCAGAAATACACGGCTAGTTTCCCGACCGCATCAGTCAATACTTTCTTCTCCGAGCCCTGTTCGACCACCGAGCGTCAGTACTTTGCTGTCAAGTTCTGTTTTTTCTTTGATGAGCAGCGATGGGTGCAAGCAGCTTAACAAGAGTTACGTCATTTCCAAAACTGAGAGTCGGCCAGGGCTGGACAGATGGGATACAACGTCATGGCCAGTCGGGGTGTGGGATTCTAGTAACTATTTCAGCACTGTGAAAGAACCAAACGCGAAGAAGGGCGAAAAACGAGTCATACCCTCTTCGACGAACACAGATTCGTTGGATTCTTGTTTCAACACGCAACAAAACTTTGGGGAAATCCCGGTACCTCGGCGGAGTCTAGGCTCTCCCACATTTGCCAAAAAACGAAAACGGACAGAACAGACGCGCGAGAGAGTCGATATCAACGAAAGTTTCAGTTTTCAGAGTAATAGCCTTAAACTCAAAGGCGCTGTGAAGACACCGCTGGGGAAAAGTTTAGATCCAAAAGAAAGAAACAGAGGCATTCTTGATACACGTATCACGCGAAGGAGTGCAGAAAATGAAAATAACAATTCCTCCGAGATTGTTTCAATGACCAGGTCAGACTGCTCTGTCGTCTTACGTTCTTCTGGGGCTGGAGAGGATAGCAAAGATTGTGCAATTGAGGATTGTGAAATAAATGATTCTGAAGTTGATGGTTTTGCTGTTCCGGCGATTGCTACAGAGCAAGAAGACTCAATTCAGAAACCCGGTGGTTCTAGCGACTACATAATCTATCATGCGCCCGTCTCCAAGTGTTCAGCAAAACCAAACATCTGCAGGAAAAAGCTGGACAGGAACACCAATACAAGCTACAGAATGCAGGATTCCAGTGACGGTGACTCGGACCTCTCTCACGGGGCCTTTGATGGTCCAAACCCTACCCTTAGTCTGGAGGAAGAAGTCTTGTCTCTCATCCGGGAGGGCTCACTCTCACCTCTACCGATGGGCGTACGAAATCCTGAGTTGATCCCGCGGGCAACCTTACAGCGGTACTACTCGCTCGGCCGGCGAGGTGCGCTCGCCAACTGTCCACTGTGCCCTGACCACAACAGCAGTAACACCACTAGGAGAATCCATCTCTGGAGCCAGACAGATGATGACCACAGAAGTATGATCGGTCCCCCTAGAGGGAGCGGCGCGAAGTTCGCACCGTCCACGGGTCCCCACAGAGGCTGTCTGAGGTCGTCACAGGGTAGGTCAGGTTTGCACGAGAGTCAAGGGGAGACCCGGAGCAGCGGAGGACAGGAGGAGGTGAGGCGAGAGACACCAGCCTGGCAACCCCGGCGGGTTGCCTTCCAGGAGGGAAATCTGGTCAACATGGACGTCACGGCCTCGCCCGATTCACGTGATCAAGTCCAAGGCGTCGTCGCTTCAGAATCGGAGGTCCCACTAATTGACATGTTCGGCGATGACACGCCATGCTTCCCAACGGTAGAGAACTACTGGCAGACAGCGGCACAAGACCCCAACCCCAAGCTTTGTTTACAACACACAGACCTATCGGCGTTCCAAAGACGGCCGTGCTTCGCCAACCAAGCCAGACATGCCTGCTATCCCCGTGCAGAGAGTAGTGAACATAGTCCAAATCCGCAAACTGATATAATTTTAGGTAATGAGGAAATAATGGATACTGGGGAGAACGGCGAATTATGTCATGGTGGCGACAGAGGCGTTGACCCTGGTGGTCGAAATCACACAATCCAGGAGCGTTTTTTGTCCATATGTAGACAACTGGACCACCAAGTGCAGCAATCTCACAGAGAGATGAGTCAGAAACTGAAGTCCGTTGGCAAAATGATTGACAAAAGGTTCAACAACTTACAAAAGTTGGTGGAAAGTAAATTCGGCAGGAGCCTTTCTAAACCTAACGAGAATGAAGCGCCACAAATATCCCCAGAAAGCGGGAGGGTGCCTGCTCAATCCGGAGAATCATCTAAATCCGAGGGAAATCCAAAATATCCTTTCGGGAGAATCCAGCTGTGTGCTACAAGAGACAGACAACGGGCATCGGGAAATTGTTTTCAACTGGATGTGTCTAAATGCAACCACGATGCAAAAGCAAGAGAGAACAATTGTCAGTCTGCCACATTCCTTTCTCCTCTCGCCGTTCCTGCGTCGGCGGTCCAAGAGTCTGAACCACAGATTACAGATGCAACGACCAACAAGATCCAGTCGATAGATTTTGTGGAAGTTGTTCCAAACTCGATGAAACCCGAAACATTGTCGTCTGATGCTGCAGTTGCTGACTCGTCCGCGTCTACAGAACCAATAAACGTTTACGTCAACAGGACACACGATAGTGCCTCAAACAGTAAAGCCAATAACGGATATCAGTCTGGAAGGTCCACTACAAAGAAAACTGGATCAAACAATACTTCCCAAAAACCAACGACGTCAAATACCACTCGGCCCAGACAATATAATATATCTAAAAAGAAATGTAACAGACGGATGCACGTCTCGACAAAAAATAAACAGAAGCGCAATTCTCGCGGAAAATCAAGCTACAGGCGTGTAAAATGTCGTAGGAGATGTCCTTCCCGAGAGAGATATATCATAAAGAGTTCGCCAGTTTCCATAGGGTTTTGTCACCGGAAGTTGACATCACGAACCTACCGCAGACTCGAACACTCCAGATCATGTCGGCGGCGGCAGGGCGCTCACGGGGGTCTGTGTAACACTTGTCTTCCCAGCATGCCTTGTACGAAGACACACCCCCAGTCTGGAGGCAAGACATGTCGAGTGTACAGAAAAAGGAAGGGAAACGAAAGGAGCGTTTTGAACCGAAAAAGACAAACGTCGAGGAAGAAATCGACAACCGCAAAAAAGAGGAAATTTAGGGAAGCAAAGTCGATGAAACGAAGAAGAAACACTCCGAATGGTTTGCGAAAAGAAAGAAAGAAACAGTTTCGGGTCAGAAGATTTAGAGACTCGATGTCAAGGAAAGACAACAAGAATGTGAACGCACTCCGATTTACCAATAGTAAAACACAGAAACAAAGGAACTTGAGTACATTTAAAGGGGATCGGCTACTGCCAAGATACTTGATTACTCTAAAGGGATGTAAACGTCTGTACGAGGTCACGAGGAGAAAATATAACATAGCGCAGGCGCAGCTGAACGTCCTAGCGCGGGAAAACCCAAACTGTCCCCATACCAACCATCAGGCCCAGATCAAACGAATGGCACAACGGTTTGAAAGAATCATATCTGGGTTTCCTCCACCACGACTGTTGAAAATGAGCAACATTCTGTATTCACAAACAGGGGGTGTGCTCAGCAGTGGAAACAGAAGACATTTCAAATTGTCACGGCGATCGCCAGCCAGACAGACAGCAATACTGCGGCCATGTCAAGGGGAGAAAGTATTCTTTGTGCAAGACTCGTACCAACAACGGATGACGTCATCTGAGGTGTGTTGTAAACATCACGGCACAACAGATAGGAACTTACGCCAGTTTTCTGTTGGATCTGGCGAGAAAGAAGAATGTACTGACACAGAGACTAGACACTACCAAGATACTAGCAACTCTGTAGTACCAAGAACCCCTTTACGCCCTGTGGATTCGCTGACGACGATTCGAAAGCGACTGAAAATGGATAAGATTAATAAGAACCGAAGCAGGAATGCAGCTGCCTGTGTCCGAGGAGTGAAGTATGCGCCTCAGAGGTTGTACACGCTAGGGGGATATAAAGTCAACAGAACAATCTCAAAGTCATTGAACGGTCCTCACATGTGCAACTGTAGCTTAAGTCTTAACGATCAGATAAAATCGTGTCGATCCAAGACATCGAGCGATGCTGTAGCTAGTCCGCCCCTCTGTGCCCAACCGCTTGAAACAAGTGTGCACATAGCTCAACGTTCTTCTCAACGGTCAAATCCATGTGTGAGTTATGTATGTGGCTCAAATCCCTCCAACGCTGACAAAAACGTTTGTGAGTATCCAATCTTTATTCTTCCAAGGCCACTAATGAGACATTTCCAAAACAAATCTAATTTGAGACACAGCGTAAATCACTGTAGCGCACTATGCTCTAAGGACTGTGGTGGTAAGCTAGGGCTGAGTGGCACACGCAGGTATCAAATTGATGTAGCATCAAGAGAGAGTTTAAGTTCTTTCCAAGGACAGTCTCTCAACGAAACATACACTCAGCCACACACAAAAGAGGGCGATTTTACGGAAAAACAACTCTACGAAAGTGACGAAAAGACTTTGTACACTAATCTTCCTTCTCGCTTGTCGAATACCACCAGTGACAGTCACCAATCTGGCACGTTTGTGGTTCATAGCAATGCCATAGAAAGTAACAGCAGGGCTTCCCGTGCCCACTCCGATCTCGTCTGGCCAAGTGATCACAAAGTTATGAGTTTCTCTAGAATGCCAGCACCGAACACCAGACCCGGAAGTGTCGAACCGGATAGCATGCGTGACGTCAGGAACGCATTGACAAACTCGGCGCGAGATCAGATAGTGAGCACGAATCTTACTTCCGGTTGCTGTCGTAACCCTCGTCTGCTTACGCACCCCGGGACGTATGGGGGTAGCGGTGCTGAAAGGGCTCTCGTCTGTTGTTGCACGGAAATGAGTGGCGCCGAAAGGGCGTTAGGCGAAGGAAAAGAAAACTGTGTTACGTCCGTCACTGTACCTCGTGGTGGATTTAAAGGGCGGCCTGTATCATTACGTAATGAAACTTCCGAGACCACATCTCTGAAACGACGTAGCCTTCGGGCACAAAGCAGATCTGATGTGTCTCGCCATCCATATACAAGGACAGTAAACGAAGGAATCCGGCAGACAAATAAGAGAAGGCAAGAAAAAACCACGCAGCCTAAAGTCCCCTACCTTTACCTAAAAAAAGCTGAAACATTTCTCGGAGACCGCCAGGCTCTTTTAAGAGATAAGATACACCATTTTTTCAAAAACCAAAAGGGGACGGAAGAACATGATAATATTATAATACCGAATCCAAACGATGATAAAGATGATCTTGTTTTCAGCAAGCGTGATGGTCTTAGACTTAGTGAAAGTATTTCCCCTCTCCCAACATTACGTCTTCGCCATCCTGTTTCAGTGAAGGAAACACAATCAAGCATAGCTCCAAACGACTTCACCACGGCCACAAGGGAAGACTCGAAATCAGAGATCCTCACGCAGGAGATGGAGGTTCGGGGAGTGCAGGAATCACATGATGTCGAAACAACAGAAAGCCCTCTAGCCAATTGCAAGCCTGTAAATCAAAACTTGAGACTGGCGTCCAGGTGGGAAAAAGACTGGTCTGCTGCAGGGCTAGGAAGATCTGAGCTGTTTGTTGATGCTTCATCGGCCGAGACAAGGAAATGCGCTTTCCCCATTGACGTTGAGTCGGTGCCAGTGAATGTCACCCTCTCGACATGCGCAGATGATTCAGTTACTGTGCCGTCTCGTCAGGTGGTGGGGCACGGTGACGTAACGAGTGGCCAGAACCGTCAACCCGACCCTACTTCCGCTCGCGAACACAGTAGCTTTGAAGAATCTTCTGAAGCCAATGGTAGCCTCAGCTCTAAGACTCGTGACCAACAGCCACTCACGTCTGAGGAAATAATATCCGCCAATCCTTTACCGGAAAGTCACATATCTAGCAGTAGTGTTGTTGAGGACTGGAACTTCAAACACCCGAGTCTCACTGTGAACACGCCAGGAATTTCCACCACTTGGATTTCCACCACACTAGGCGTCTCCTCTCATCCACCCAGGGCATTGAACTATCCGGGATTGATCAAAAGGAATGAAAGCACCATAGCTCCCACCTTGAGAATAAACGGTAGTAAAAATCAAATGGATAATGAGAGTGGGATGAATATGAGCGCCGCATGCTCAAGCAATTTTAAGTACAACACAGAAATAGCTGGCTCTCCCCAGCCTACAACAATTGAGGAGCCAGGTCCTTCCGTCATTTCCGACGATTCGGCTTTACCTGGCGCGTACTTCTTCAACATCCAAGCACAAATGAAGAGAGGTAAGGCCATCAGTTCTTCAGATGAATTAATTTTCTCCAGGTGGCGACAAAAAACGGGCACAGACTCTTGTTCCACTCTGTCTAACACTGGTTCTGAAGACCGTCCTATCACACAGCTTTCTGTACCTCTAGACATGAAACAAGATGCAGGTGTGTCCTCTCAAAGTAACAATATGCGGATGTCGCACAACGATAGACTAGCTCATAGCAACAGGTCATGTGACTTGAGGGAAGACGAGAACGGAACCCTTGAGCATGAAGATACCAGAACATCTCTCCAGTTGGAGGAAGAAGAAGGTCAAACTCATGAATCTCGTTCCGCCGACGTCAGCGAATCTCTAGAAAACAACAATAACGCCACGATGTCTGAGAATTGTCCAGACGAAGACGCGGGCGTGCCGGGGAAGAAAGCGAAGGACGCCACCAACACCCCTTCTCGTGATGACGTCATAGAGGAAGTAGTCCGTCATGACGAAGCAACGACCAATCTCGTAACACGATGTAGACCCGACTACGACTCTGGAGCTACGAATCAGGTTCTGTTTTGTAGATCCGGGTTCAACTCCCAGGGCACGCGCTGCCGTGGAGACATCACCAACAACAGAGTGACGCAGTCGGCCCACTCGCCTTCATACACGCAGACAACACGCTCGAACAAGATTAAAGTGGCTGCCACGCCCTCACACTTCCTCAAGAGTTGTTCCGTGTTCGCCACAAACACGCCCGGGCGTTTCCAGGATGCCACGTCTGGGTCGTCGTCGTGCACGATGCCTATGTCTGTGAACGCGCTGAGACAGAGAAGATCGGAGACATTGGGCAATATGAAGTCTGTGTCTGGCGTGGTGCATGGGCGTCGCCGAAAACGGACAGCCACGACGTCAGTGCCACAACACTTGATACCTCCTCAGAAAAAAGCCAAACTGATTGCTGAACATCGCGCCCCCTCTCAGGTACACCCAGCTTATCGGTTTGTACTTTTTTGTTTCTTTGCTCTCTAGTTTTGTTTGTTTGTTTTTGTCTATTATTATCGTCTGCTGTCTCGGTGACTTTTGCTCCGTTTTAAAAAGAAATTAAACGTAAAAATAACGTGTTTATCACCTATAATACCACCAGCATGGTTCCCGTCCCGGACTCCGTAAAGGTTTTGTTACGTCATTATGAAGACACCACACCTGTGCTCCAAACACGAATTCGTTGGTTTTCATTAACTAAGAAATTTATTAACTCCTTATTTCCGACTAGCCGCTCCCAGGGGCCTGTGGTCGGGACCTTTTTGTCAGATTATTCCCTTGTGACGACAAGGAAGATGTTATAATCTATTTTTGGCAATTGCCAAAAACAGTTACATTGTTCTTGTAATAAGTTGGATGAATACATGCCAGGTATGGATGGAGGATGAATGAATGAGATGATTTTTTAAAAAATTATTTTTTT